GTTTGTCAACACATCAATACTAAAATAAGAACGTCGTCACACATAAGTCAAATAATATTAACTACTAAAAAGGTTCTTGAAAAAACTCGAAAAAATAATACTAATTAATGAATTTTCGCTTATTGAATTTTTAGTTTCAATTGACTGTTTGCGTTACTTTCACACTTCAGACTTTTCCGGGAAAATATCAGTAAATTTTCCTTACTTTTATTAAATCACGTAGCCGGCGGGTCACTTATGTATTAAATATAAAAAAAAACTTACCAGTCTAGCTTGAATGAGACAGGTGTTTTCCTCTGAAAACTGTCAACAATAATAACCACCTGATAAAAAAAAAACTATCGTTTATTATAATCGATATTCAAGTTCGATAAAAAACAAACCACTGCCGAAAAAAAAGAACGATTTCTAAACCGCAACGAATCGGAACAATACGTCATTTAAATACTCATTTAATTATTAATTGTAATAACTAATTAAAAAAGGCAAAGTAACACATGCGTATCGACCACACGACTACTGCGATTTCGACGAGCTTCTAAAAGTGTGTTGTGTTGTGTTGTATTGTTGTTACGTAGCAAGCACGGCTTGCGCTGATCTAAAATCGTGAATTTTCTCGCGGTGTGCGGATCGCAATATCCTTGCTCGCTGGACCGCGCCTACTGCGTCTGGTACGAAGAAGATTGATGCTGGAGGTCGTTGTGGTGAAAATTGCCTTGCGAAAACGCTGCGGAACTGAAAAATTGCGATATGTACCACGATACGAATTTAAAAACATTCGTTGGTTAAAAACCACTATTTCTTTATAAAATTATCGGAAATAAAATCTTTACGCAAAAGTTTCCACATTGACTAGGATAATTCGCGAAACTTCCGCTACTTGCGTTAACTTCTATCTACAAATTTGTACTAAAATGGGGTGTTTCGCGTTTGTGAAAATAATTCTATGCGAAGGGAATAGCGTAATAAAATTTGAAAAAGAATTTCGTAGTTTTCGGTTTCTCAAGTTCTAAATTTTTTAATATTTTTCAAATTTAGTTAAATAAAACAAGAAGTATTTATTCGAAATTTTATTAGCAATACAAAAAAATCGCACACAAATAGTTTTCGATACAAATAAAAACTAAAAACTGCTACAGAGAAAGCACATAACTAAAACCATTGTTTACTCAGATTTTTCTTTTTCTCCCTCTGTTTCATTCAGTTTTTTGTGTTTTAAATACACAGAAATAAGATTTATAAAGTTAACAACGTATGTTGAAACGCACACTATACACAAAGTGTGAAGCTTAAAGTAAAGAATATATGCGAAATACAAAGAAGAAATGTTGGACAAAATTATACCAAAATAACAAATTAAATTTACGGTGGCGGAGTTACTTTGAACTGAAAAAAACCCAAAAAATGTTTATTTTCATATTTAAAAAACAAAGATTGTTCTATCGACTTACCGAAGGTTATTAATAAACTATAAAATATCATTCCAACAAGTGCATTTGGTCTATTAAAAATTGATTTTTCGCCAAATAATCCCATACCTTTGCCATATCTGCAATAAAAAATATACAATACTTTACAGTAAAAACTGTAATGTCTAATCTAGCCACTACACAAAAACTTCGTAGCATCTAGACACGGCTAATTTCAAGGTTATTAATGTCAAAAAAGAAAGGTTAGAATAGACATGAAATAAATACTATTGTCATAAAAAGAATGTAAGTATTGAAAAAAAAACATATTGCTTATTGCATCATAAGTAAATATAAACAGTTCTTATTATCACTAGTTTAAAAGTATGTTTTTATGTGCCATTAAACGTAATAAGTGAGTAACACTTACTGTGATTTAAAAGCCTTTGTACAACTTATAGTTTCACTAATATCGCACATAGGGGTATAACTGCGATTATGTTCAATTGCTATTTCAACAATAAAAGCATAAATGCTGAGTCCTAACCCGATAATACTGGAGACAGTTAAAACAAAATTTAGGAATCTAGTGGAAGCCATTTTTCTCATTGAAGTACACAAAGTAATTGTTTATTAGAGGTGTTGGACCTACACATGAATATTTATGAACTATTGATCTGCGCGCCAATAAAACAACATCCTAATTAAGAATTCAGTCTAGAGGTTAAAGTTAATACAGAGCAAAGATAAGAATATTTTATTTTTAGTTCTGGCAATTTGTTTATTTGTATGTTTATAATGCTTATATACATATATTTAACTTTTGACATATAGGCAACGCTGCATACTTAGATGCATAAAAGGTTGTAGGCAATGAAACAAAATAAATAAAAATATTCGAATGTGTACGTTTTTATTTAATAAAAAATAAGCACATACACAATTACAATGATGGCATGTGGTGCTCAGATATGTTTTTTATCTTTTGCCCTTTGAATATAATAATTTTCAACAGTATTGTTATCTAAAACGTCTCTGGCATCTTTAAGGGCAAGCTTTGTAATCCTTGCTAGTAACTCAGGATATCTCTTTATAGCTTTTTGAAAATTACTTCTTGACAAAGTTAACACCTCTATTGGTTCAATAGCAACGACAGTTATTAATCTTTTTACATCGTCAGACAGTATCGCAAATTCTCCGAAATAATCTTCATCCGACAAGTGGCATATCTAAAATGAAAATTAAATTTGTATCTGGACTTTGTTGTCGAAAACCTATTGGGATCCGTCAAATGGGCATACACCATGTGGTGGCAAAATTTATAACTCGAATGAGGGAAAAATTTACATAGGAACTGTGCACGCAAATTGTAAAATTGTTTATTAAAATAATAAAACACGTTAAAAAAGTAAAAATTTTTTTGATGATGGAGTCGACGAAGTTTTCTTCTAAAGTTAAATCAAATAAAAAGTTAATATGTTCAGTGAAAAGCTGCAATAGCACTTCAGACATAGATCTTCACTCTTCACCTACATTAACTACTTTCCAATAAAAACTAACCGTTTTATATATGTAAAAAATATATTCGGAAAATTAGAGAAAAAAGTAAACTAATAGAAGCTTGGATGAAAGCAGTAGGTATCAAAGAAGTGAATTCCGGAATAAAAATTTGTTCACGTCATTTTAATGCACATGATTATATTTCAGCAAGTATTTACCATCAGCCATAACCTTAATATTTAAAACTAGAATCATACTAAAATTATAAAGTGAGAAATTATTTATTCCTGTGTAATTGATTTAACACAATTCTAATGATACGATATAAGTATTTTGAGGTTAAGAACCTACCTGCTGCAATACAACAAAGTTGCAATAATGTGTTTGCAACGTTCTCTTAAATCGGCTTTGCACGTGCAAGTCATTGATATGATATTGCTTAAATCACCCAGAATCACCTCACCAATTATATAACGTGAATCACTTTTTAAATCCGAAGTTTGTAAAAAGTAGGCAGTAAACTTGACGGAATTTGAAGGCTAGCTTCCGGATTTGTTATTTCCGAATTTTATAATGTGATTGGCATTAAAAACACGCTCACCTTCAACGAAATTTCCTTTCCGAGGCTTTGTGTCAGCCCAATCACATATTGTGTCAATACTTATCATTTTATCGTTATTTAAAAACTTGGAAATTGCACGGTACACTATAGGAACTACGATTAATTTTCCCTAATCGGCGCCATGTTTTTAGGCTCCTCCCATTTGACGGATCCCAATACTTTAAAAATATTTCTAATAATTTATATATTCGATTTGGAACATACGCATGGGTCTTATTAATGTATTTAATATTACCTCTTGTTTTTCTTGATTATAAACTGCAACTTTTCCAGTTACAATAAAAAAGATTTTATCGCCTTCTGCCCCCACCTCGTAAATTATATCGTTAGGCAGATAAAATTCTGGTTCAATTGAACTTCCAATGCCGACATATGTTGATATAGGCAAATTCTTCAGATAAACGACTTTTTCCAGTAAATGTTTACATGTATGTAACATTATTTCCTAAATTATAAAAGTAATAAAAGTAAATTTCAATACTTAGAGAGTCGGTTAATTAAGGATAGAAAAGTGCTAGAAATATAAAAACTGAGAACAGCTCACGGTTGGGTCGTTTCTAGCAAAAGGAAATAATTTGAAAATTCGAAAACGATAAAATTTATTATATTTCTCTCTGCACCTTTGTATATAGCATACCTGTCGCAATTGTGGTGATAGTGTGTTCAAAATTTCTTCCTCATTGAAAAAACTCTTTTGGTATCGAAAATTATAGTATTGGTAAAGTCGTTTCTTTGTGGAATCGGGGAGCTGCTTGTATCTGCAGTATTGGCGAATTTCTTGCAATAGATGACTGTATTTGTTCTTCGATTTATTGTACTTTTGTAGCAGGTACATTATCTGACCTAAAATGTATTTATTAACAAGGGTCATAGTCCAGGACCGTGGTACATTTTTGCACTTGATTACTATCAAGCTAATTTTCCGTGAGCAGCTTCATTTTGATGATGAGACGCCCAACAACTTCTTGTAAGAAACTTTGATTGTGGTAGCTAACAGAGGTAGCAAGGATAAAATATGTCGGTTTGATGATTCTCAAAAATTTATTACTGACTGGGGTTTTTTTTGTTTAATCTCAAGATAATTATCTAAATTATTCGAAAAAATATTTGTCCTACAAAATCTTTGGTTTTATCAAAGAGTCCCCTCTTTCCAACATGCACCGATAACGAGGTCATCATAAATGATTACTAACCAAATGATTTTTTTTTTACTTAGTTAATATTTATATAATTTAACAGTCGCATTGTCCTACAAATTGCGTGGTACCTTCTTCCGGTTCTACGCTCAGAAATTGTTAATACCACAAGACCATCAAGTGAAAAAATGTACCAGGCATCCTGGACTATCACTCAAAAGCGCGCGGTGATAATTATAAGAAAGTTTCAAAAATTTACACGTACACATATATTTCTAAAAAGTAATTTTACATGCCCTTACCGACAACGAATAAATTGAACACAAATCCAACAATTATACAGACTATGCTGACAATTATGTCCCCAACTTTGTTGGAATTGTTAATATCACTTCCGACGTGGACCAAATCGTACACGGCCTTTAATATAGACAAAGCCAAATTTCGGATTATATTACCCTCCAGGAGCCAGTTCGATTTTCCGTGAAAAGCCACCCTGTACATTACACTTGAACTCCACATTACGAGAAGCACAAAAATTATGAACAATTTGATAACTTTGACTTTATAATAACTGTGGTGACGCCACTAGAACGGACATTTTATGTTTTAGTAAGCTCAATACAAATTTCAAAAATTTTTCATAAATTGTTTACCTACCTACCTAATGTATTGAAAGTTGCACAAATATTTCAACTTACATCTCGAAATCTGTCTATATATTTCATAAGATTGGCGACTCGGAGAATTCTTATAAAAGGTGCAAACGAAAGCACCTGATATGTTAAGCTGGACTTTTTGAAAGCGGCTTCCTTGGTCATTCCAAAGGGAAAAGACGATAACAAATCCACAAAGAAATACCCAAGTACATATTTCCTACAATTATTATTACATAGAGCCAAACTTGGGTAAAATACCGAAAAAGTATATGATTACATTTAAAATATATTTAAATACTATTATTAACTAATTATCCGATTTATTGCAAAATAAATTAATTTCGCACATTATGATATTCATTTAATTTTATTTGTTTTTTGATCCAAGTTTTTTTACTTTCTCTTTTTCTGACTTACTTTGCCACAATTTTTGGGTCCAATACCACTTTTCTTGTTTGGTGTACGTACACTCCGGTACAGAATGTTAAAAATATGTCTGCAATTCCAAAGAAATTCAGATATCGCACGGATTTCACGAAATATTTCGAATATTTCTGTATACCGTCTAAGGATACACTTAACAACGGTGTGAGAACCAAAATTAAAAAGAGAACTACCATAAAAAAAGCTTCCCAATATGCCCTAGAATAGTAAAACAATTAATAGAATTTTCCAAAACGGTTTATTACATCCCTTATTAACTGCCAGAAATCAATTTGAGTTTAAAAATTTTTAGCCAATAAATACCTCATAAAATTATGTGGACATATTAGAGGCAGAAACAGGAGTTAAGAGGAGTAGAGGTAGACCTAAATTAGATTACTGTTCGCAAATAGTTAAGGATATGAGATGTTTTACATTTAGGGAAATGCGATTATTAATTCAGGATAGGAAGGAGTGGAGGTGCGTGTGCAACCAGTCTTAGGACTGACGAAACTATGTGTAAGATTTAAAATGTAATAGGTACTTAGTCAAAAAAATTATTAACATTTAATATGAAAATTAATTTTTCGAATTTCTTACCCACTACAAACTACCTCAGGTTAATGAGGGAAAATTGTTGGTGTTGTCGCACCCTCGCCTCGCCTCATTAACTTGAGGTATTTTGTAAAGGGTAAAAATTTGGAAAAGAAATTCTCATATTAGTATTTCATATTAAAAACTAACCACTACTAAAAATGTCAGTGTTTTTTTTTGGCTAAATTATTTTCGTAATAGGTATACATATATACATTTCACTAATATTATTTATTATTAAAATGTTTCTTACCTTGCAACACTAAACGGATGAATCATGTAATAGTAGTACCTTAAATGTCTATTTTGTTCCATTCGAATGGCATAATTGGATTTAAAGGCATTTCTTGCTAACGGATTATTCATATCTGCAATTAACAGTCTCTTAAAGGCTCTTCTAAAATACACAAAATAACCACTGTCTATATATTGTACTATTACATCTTCTGGCGACGGCACAGAACAATCATGTCGAAAGAGTTTTTCTTTTATCTCTTTGTCTCGATTCATTCTAAACAATTCGTTCAATCTAATAGCCGCTTTTTACATTTAATGAAAACAGCAGTGGTTGTTAGGTAACAAAACTAGACTGGCCTTCTATTTTCTTGTAAAGGTACTAACTTCATTTTTGAGGTAATTTTAATTGGAAACCTTATGGCTGATGTAAAGTTGTTATTTTCAAGGGGACTATAAAGTTAAAATATTTATTTTTTTTTTTACACTAACTGGTAAGTTATCGTTAATTTGGAAAAGCTAACTTTGTACATTTGATAACAGAACAGGACTATATAAATTAGCTTTTATAAAGGAAAGACATTAAATGAACATCAGTTTAATAAGGAAATTTTTGAACGTCGGATAGAAAGGAAATTAATTTCTGAAAAGGATGGCCTTCCTACTTATCTTTTTGTCACATCTCAGTTACGTCAAATTTAATTAATGCTAATAAAAATACAATTTCTACTAATTATTTTTTTAATTCTCTTACAAAACGTACAGTTTCTAATTTCACACAAACATCAATTACAATACATTAAAAGTTAAAAATATAATATTACTTGTAATTAAGCATTGTCTAATCTAAATAATATGTATTTCATGGGAAGGAATTTCCCAGCAAAAAAAAGCGGACAAAAGTGAACATATATCTCTAATTAATTATTATCATTCAATACCAAATTTTTGTTTTATTAATCAGTGAATTACCGAGAACTACTTGAGCTAGAACGACTGCGCTTGCGACGTCGAGGGGGCGGACTTCTCGAGTGCGGTCTGCGTCTCGGAGGACTTCTTCTTGGGGGTCGGAATGGGGAACGTCTCCGAAATCTCGGTGGACTGCGGCGCATTGGGGGCCGACGTATCGGTAAGGGGCTTCGCTTGGGAGGTAAAGGTCTTGGTTTCGGGATAAGAACGGGGGCGGCAGTTATTTCCTATTTTAACAAAAAAGGAAATACTAATTAGAACTAAAACATACATGAATTGAGATAGTTATGGCATTTCATTTTGTTACAATTTTTTGTGCACAAATGAAACCGTTCACAAGAACTTTAGTATTATGTACGCCTTTTTTTGTTATTTTGAAAAACGTAATACCTGTCCATCAATTTGTCCTCCATCCATGTGTTTCATGGCATTTTCTGCCTCATCCGGTGTAGAAAATTCGACATAGGCATAACCCCTGCCTATGTGAGGGTGCAAATGGTCCTTGGGGAATTCAACGTTCTTTACTGTCCCATATGTACTGAAAATTTCCATGATGTGATCCTTATTTACAGTACGAGTCAAACGACCTATGTGGATCTTCGTAGGTCTAGGGGTAGGTGAACGGCGCCTCCTCTTACGACGAGATCTTGACCTCGAACGAGACCTTAAAATCACAAAAGAAATTACCCCATTCAAAAAGCATTTGTTTTTCGTAATTTACTTTGAACGCTTCGCTCTGTCGTCACGTGGTATAGAAGGCTTGCGATTTTCCTTTTCTTTGTCCTTTTCCTTATCTCTTGAAACTTCCTTGGTCTTGTCTTTGTCCTTAGACTTGTCTTTCTCATGGTCTTTATCTTTTCTTTCTTTCTCTCTGCTTTTTCGTACTGTTGCTTTACTTCTTTTCGGACGAGTGCGGTTATTGTCACTGCTAGATGAAGACGAGTCTGAAGAAGAACTGCTGGAACGTGATGAACTTCCAGTACTTGAACTGCTAGAGGATCTTGATCCACTAGAGGAGCTTGACTCTGAAGAACTATTTAAAAAACGCATATTACTATTTAATAATACATGCACCTATGAATTTTTGATAAACCTTCGACTGCTATCACTGCTACTTGAAGCAGAATCGGATTTTTTTCTGTCGCGGACTCTTTCTTTCTTCTTCTCCTTTTCTTCCGATTCTGAACCACTACTTTTTCTAGCCCTAAAAATAAAATTTTACAATATTCACAAACGATTCGATTAACCGACAGGCTCACTCACATTTTTTACAGGTTAAGTAGATATAGTAAATAAATCAACACTAATATCGTTAGAGATACAAAAAATTGTGCATGGTATCCTTCTTGGTGAAAAAGAAAATGGTTTTTAACAGGCTTCACTACTAGTACTAACCATTATTACCAAATTTTAATTATAAACGCTAATCAATAATACATTAAACGTACAAGATAACCATAACCATTCAAACCATCAACGCATCAACAATATAAATCATAGATTAACACCATAGCAATACAACCAGTTTACCACCCTTGCCAGTTGTTAATTCTGAATTCCATTTCATAGATAAGACATCTACAGTTGGTAAGTGTTGTCATTGAAGTGGAGTGGAGGTATCTGTAGTCTAGTTCAATGAGTGTTGTATATCCCTTGTCTATGGATCCATTCCTTTCAATCATTGAACTAGACTACAGATACTGGAAGGCGTACGCTATGTTAAATTTGTGAGCGCAAGTGTGCGAATAACTCCGCTGCTGCGGAGTGGGATACCATCTCTCTTTCACACACAGGCGCTTATGAGTCAATATCGGAAGTCAAGTGAAAATGAGGCAGGTGTGCGATACCCGTGTATGATTTTACATTGCCGTGCGGTATCTTTATCGCAGAAATTATTAACAAATTATTGGGGTGTTTTAAAATTTGTTAAAAAGCAATAAATTCATTAGAAATAATTTTTATTGTGACCTAGTACAAACAAAACAATACAATTAATCCGAAAAAGTTCTAATTTTAATTAACTAAATTATTCNCTCTAGGTACAGCTGTCTGAAACGAATGTGAACCGATACAGCCAATGCCGCGTAGCTTAATGGCATCCGGATTTTTTTTAATGTTCCTGTAAAATGAAATCTCATGAAAGAGCATTCAGATACAATTTATTTAGCTTCCCACGTAAAAAGCGCGGCTAAAATAATGTTTTGTACTGAACTGATAACTAATATTGATATATATATAAACAGTTTTCACGCTTTTCCTAAATTATCAAATATGGCGGAGTAATGTACATTTACTTACAACCAGTAAATTAATCATCGGAATCGTAAAAATAAGCCGATACCCATTAATAAAAAAACACGCAACAGATGAAACTGTAATTCCAGAATCTGTTGTGATAGAAATTTTGTGTGTACTCGAACTTTTTCCAATTTTTTTTGAACAAAAATGCACACAACATATGATTATTCAAATACACAAAGCGTAGAAATTGGTAGAAATGCAGCAGACAGCAGAAGCAGAAAAGTGAACGGGAAGGAAGTACGTCATATGCGTTAATCTCGTCGAAGTTAGCAATACATATTATACTTAATATGTACTACTTTCTTTTGCTAAATAGTCGTTGGTTGTTGCATATGCCGGTTTAAAAAAATCCTTTAATAAAAATTAAACCCATCCAATGATAAAAATTTTTTTGAATTATGGAATAGGAAATATGTACATTCTTATTGTTCCTTTTGCAGAATAACTTTTTCAAATAGTTAATGAACTGAGTATCAATAAATCATTCATCTTGAAAGTTAATCTGTGAAAGAAACAGTAAACAATTTATACGAACTTGCTATTACATAATTCAAAAAATGTTTTTAAATATTTCGCGCCAGCCTAGAAAGCTGCCAAGATATGTATTGACAGCGCTCCCTTGCGTCAACCTCGGCAACATTCAGAATTTCAGATAAACTTACCCTTTGTGTATCTATTATCTATGGATAAACTCGTAACCAGTTGCACTTATGTGATTATTAAGATACAATAATGTCTAGTTTTATCTAATTATCGTGATAATTAGTTAAATGGGATGGGTTAAATTTTTATTAAAGGATTTTTTTAAACCGGCATATGCAACAACCAACGACTATTTAGCAAAAGAAAGTAGTACATATTAAGTATAATATGTATTGCTAACTTCGACGAGATTAACGCATATGACGTACTTCCTTCCCGTTCACTTTTCTGCTTCTGCTGTCTGCTGCATTTCTACCAATTTCTACGCTTTGTGTATTTGAATAATCATATGTTGTGTGCATTTTTGTTCAAAAAAAATTGGAAAAAGTTCGAGTACACACAAAATTTCTATCACAACAGATTCTGGAATTACAGTTTCATCTGTTGCGTGTTTTTTTATTAATGGNGCATTTCTACCAATTTCTACGCTTTGTGTATTTGAATAATCATATGTTGTGTGCATTTTTGTTCGAAAAAAATTGGAAAAAGTTCGAGTACACACAAAATTTCTATCACAACAGATTCTGGAATTACAGTTTCATCTGTTGCGTGTTTTTTTATTAATGGGTATCGGCTTATTTTTACGATTCCGATGATTAATTTACTGGTTGTAAGTAAATGTACATTACTCCGCCATATTTGATAATTTAGGAAAAGCGTGAAAACTGTTTATATATATATCAATATTAGTTATCAGTTCAGTACAAAACATTATTTTAGCCGCGCTTTTTACTAGGGAAGCTAAATAAATTGTATCTGAATGCTCTTTCATGAGATTTCATTTTACAGGAACATTAAAAAAAATCCGGATGCCATTAAGCTACGCGGCATTGGCTGTATCGGTTCACATTCGTTTCAGACAGCTGTACCTAGAGCCCTAAAGAAAACATGAAAATTACCTTTTTTCCATTGGGAACGAAGGCAGTGTGTTGTTGTTAAAGGAAGGATTTACAACAATCAATGAACTGGTAAGTAACAGTATCAACTAAAAATAGTAAATAAGGTCCTAGAAACTTGACATTTACAATTTACTTTCAATAGACAATTTTTAAACAACGGTTCAGAAATGGCAGAAGCAGGATAGCAGTATTAATGTGAAAGTGACCTTTCAATCAGTGTGAAAGTTAACTTATAATTTTACCACCATATTGTCACATTAAAATATTACTGATTTACTTGCTTTAAAAGTGATAATTAATTACTTTTTCTTGCCTGTTTGTATAGAATGTTCATGAGAAGGAATTTGCAGTTAATATTGATGTCACTGAAACAACCGATGCTTTGACATGAGGGAGAGACAACTGGAAATTACTTTAGAAACACCTGAAACAGCAGATTCTCTGCAGTGGTATCCCTCCTGGATTTGGCTTGCATATTACACTTGTGGGCTTTAGAATGCTACCTTCTGCAATTAATTGAGGTGAGAATGCATGGCAATTAATATTAATTACTCTTTGTTAATCTGTTTAATGGTATTTCTTTTAACAATTTTCTATTGTTCGCAGTATAAATTGACGTTATGGTGTTATGATGTATAGTATTTTAACATTTATCTATTATCGAAGCGTAAGTTGAGGTTATTGTGCACCTACCTATGGTGTTCCTTTTAACAGTTATCTATTATCCATAGCATCTATGATATTTAACAATTTTATCTATTACAACTTGTATTCATGCATCTATGATTATTTGACATTTATCTGTCATATTGTGAACTAACACTTGTCGGCAATTTATGATTCAGCTATTTTACTTGATTTTTGATGCTTATTTTTAGGTGTGTTTAATTCCTTCCTTAATTAATAGTGTAATTAATATAGTTTTTTGTTCGTTCTGCAGGTTGCCCAACAAATGAGAGAATTAAAGATTAGTTTGGCCATACTAAACCAATCAATGTATATATGGGTGTGGTCCTTCATGGATTTGCTGTTTTCGTTTTGCAACACTATCCAGTTAATTTTTAACCGATGATTGAGAGCAACTGGAGCTTCAATTTGAATTTGAATTCCACTGAAACAACAAATTTTCTGCGATGGCATTCCTCCTAGATTCAGTTTGGTATTGACACGTGCAAACTTTGGAATGTTCCAGTCTACAGTTAATTAAGGTGAGAATACTTGATTAATTAATTTTACTTGCTAATTATTAATCTGTTACCACCCTATCTGTTTCAGATCGACGATGGAGAAGACAAAGAAGATCCCATAGTTAAAATAGTTCTCTATCTTGCATGCTCACTAGTAGAATTAATTGTTGAAGTTCAGTTTATTCAAATTAATTTTTTATTTTGCATGTTCATTTTATTTGATTATTTTTATTTTGCATGCTTATTTTGTTCATTTTATTTGAAGTAGTTGTTGATTGTAGATGTTTTTATTATTTTTTTTGTATGTAGTAGTAGTGTAGTACTAGCATTAACTCGTTTAGTAGTTGTAGTGTAGTCTAACATGTCTCTTGCTTACCTCTTCGCTTAGCTTACTGCATATTCTTACTATTTTGCTTTGCATTTACCCTACGAGTTCTACATGATTCAACGTTTCGTTATCGTGTGTGTTTCTTCTCACCCTTGTGGAATTAGGGAGGGCCTCCCCGAACGACTTCCCTTGGGCTTAGCTATTTAGTTGATCTTAAAAGTGTCTTATACACTTTTCGCGAGTCTACTCTAGCGTTACTTCCTTTCAGACAGGGTACAGTGGGTTATCTGGAATAGGAGCAATAGGCGACTGCCCAGCTTGCCTTGGCGAAATCTGTCCGATCTT